AGCAGGGTGCGAGTGAGAGCTGTCATCTTCCCTTTACAAGCTTCAAAAATGTATTTATGGTGTGATTTTGGAAGTAAAAGTTTCATATTCTGAAAAAAACACCTGAACCCCGAAAAAGCAAATCCACGTTTATTTTTGAAATGAGCCGTCGCGACTTCCTGATTTCGGTAGAGCGGGTCACATTTATTTAACATATATCATGTTGCATTGTTTTGTGTCGTTTGAAGGTGATGAATACTTTCAAACATGCATTCAATATTAAAATATCATAATACATCAATGGAATTGGCTTGTTGTGCTAACCAGAGCACTTGTTGCTAGCTGCATCGGTATGGCTTAGGAACTCTTTGTTTTAGGAGGGAATCTCCTTGCTGATGCAAATAAATAGAATGATTACATAAAATTTTGCAGTGCTTTCAACTGCAGACTGAAACAGAGTAACATACCAGACGTTGTAGCACTGAAACAGGCTGTCAGGATACTGAGGCTGGAAGGGCTCCTGGCTCTCAATGGTCCCAAACCACCAGGCATCGTCAATGACCGACCTAAATCTGTCCCCACACACACACACACACACACACACACACACACACACACACACACACACACACACACACACACACACACACACACACACACACACACACACACACACACACGTTTAGATGATCACAACAGAACACTGAGAAACTTGACCTAGAAACTACACAGGCAACATCTGGCTGACCTATACTCCACTGCCTCTTTCTGGCGTTGTCAAACTGTTGTCGCAGAATCAGGAAGTCGATGACATCAGGCATGTCGTGGTATCTGAAGCAAGACAAACACATACACAATAAGTCAAGATCTGCAACAAAACATTTTAAGAATAGATAAATAAGAATCATTAAGACAGTGTAAAATAGATGAGACACACTTTGCAGTAACGACTTACCATTCCCATAACAGCAATTACTTTATAATGTCAGTCAGGATTAATAAATAACATTTTTAATAGCTATTGTCTTGAGTTCATTAGGAATATAAATATGACATTCAAACCGAGCTCATAGATCACTATGGAGAATAGTTTCAGTAGAGCTGTGATGCTTCAGAAGCAAGCAACATTTTTCAAACACTAGTTCAGCTTGTAACACTTGATCTTCTAGCTTTTCAGACAGGGTGGGGTCTTACTTCATAGAGAAGGATCCTCCGGTCAGTCTGCTGCTGTCGGGGTCCAGGAAGGAAAGCTTCAGACAGCACAGAGTGGGCAGACCCACCTCATACTTAATGCCCACTATCTTCACCAACTCCTGCTCCTGTAGACCACAAGAAGATAAAAGAAGAAATTATGCAAATGAATACAAATCATTTCCTCTCCGGTAAAGAAATCACATCATTGAAACATAGTCCAAAGCACTTTACTGATAGAATCTCTTTAAGTATTTGTGTAGTATGTATGCTTAGAGGTTGAGGCTGAAGGGAATAATGCTTTATTGTCGCCATGTCTGTTTGTTCAAATAAAAGTAGAAGAAACAGAAGAGAAACTTGCATTACAAACTACAGCAATATATTCTGAAGATGCACGCTGCGCCCTGCAATGCATTATGGTCCGCCCCCTGCAAAGGAATTTCTATTTATGTCTCCACACATGGGAACAGAAATATACCAAGTGTAACTGCAATCCCTTAAGCTGTTACTTTAATGTTTTTTAGAAATATTTTTCATTTACAGGGATCAAAAGATGTTCTCTGCAGACATGTCTCTTTTAGTAGTATATTTTTAGTTTGGAAAAAAAGGGATTTAAGTTTAAAGGAAAGTAGTGAAGGAATAATATTGCTAAGTTCTTAGCACTCTAATACTTTATGTGGATTTTACACCGTTGTAGCTTGCAACTGTGCTTCAATTCCTGCTATGTATTCCCATGGAGAATGTGTGTCATTCTATTTTTAGCTACACTACCCTGACCTTTTAAGCTCTTACTTTGAAAACATCATCAAAAAAAATTTATTTTATGTTTTTAATGATTTTTAATGATTTACGATTAATTAAACTGACTCATATGGTCTCTAGATACTTCAGGGTTTTTAATGTGACAATTAATGTGTTCCTTACCCACATATTAGACTTTACTAGCATAAAGGGTCATATGAACATGTACCAAGACCGAACCTCCAACAAACAGCCAAATATAAGGAATGTTTTACTTGTTATTGGTGGTGGAGCTGGAGCTTAGGGCAAATGTAGTGGTGGTTTAACCTGGCTACATTCACCTGCTCACTTTGGTTTTGCATGGAGAGAGAGTGGACAGTGAGTGGGGAAGCAACATTTTCTGTTGACTGCAATTTTTAACATCAATATCCATCACACTTCCACTTGCACTCACCATTGCACTCACACTTACTGGTATTGGAATGTATTGTACCTGTTTTGTGGAAGAATAAATGGTCTAACGCACGCAAGTAATGGAGGAGATTTGTAAGTCGCTTCAATGCATCTAGTCCCGTATTAAGCCTGCTTGCAGCTTTTTTCTTGGACTGCCTACAACCGTAATACACTGACTGGAGATATGGAGAGTATGGAGATAAATACTTTTGCGCTAAAGAAACATGTTGATAAATGAGTATTGCATCGTTTGGTTTTTACCCTTTTACTGATTGTTACTGTGTTACCTGACATGTAGTTCCATCTTTATAACATGTGTAAGGCAAGGCAAGTTTATTTATATAGCATCTTTCAACACAAGGCCCTTTAAAGTGCTTTACAAAAATGAAAGACATTAAGAAAATGGCCTTTAAAAACAGTCATTAACAGTGATGCAAACACAGGTATGGTGAAAAAAGAGAGAACTATTCCAAACAGGAAAAAAACAGCGTAGTATACCGTCTGACAATGGCCTGTGCTATAATGCTTCAATTAACTGTTCTTTATAATTTACTCAGATCAATAGGAGACAGAGATGTTAAGTTATAAATCAAGGGTTTTATTATTATTTACAGCAGGGGTGGGGAACCTTTTTCTTTTCAATTTTTACAACATCCTCCGAGGGCCGTACAAATTATTGAACTCAACCTCTGCTTAAAAAAACTAAAATCACAGCCCATTCATTTGGCCTTTCTTTCATGCTGTGCAAAGAAAAAGCAACCTCTTAATCCAGATATCTTACCATGACTCAGTTGACGCATGCATGCATGCATTCAGTGCACGGTTGTGGCATGACCACCAAAACAGAAAGATATGGACACAAGATGTGTGCAAATGTATTTAGTATCCTATCCATGTGAACATGATTTAAGTGTGGGGGACCTAACCTCCTCTAGGGGGGTCCGGGGGCATGCTCCCCCGGGAAGATTTTTTTTTAAATATTGAAGTTAAAAGCATCAATCTGGTGCACTTTGAGAGCAACATGAGGAGATCTATGGGTACATCTTTCAACACCCATTTGAAACAGAACTGTAAGCAGATTTTTCTTTTTGGATATTTCACAAATCACTCCCCTTTCAAACTCTATTCTTGTTATTTTTAACAACTTTTTTTTGTTACTGTCATATAGTATTTTATACCTGTTAATAATTTAGTCTCTAATGTCTCATTGATAACTATAATGATCATATCAAGGTGTGCCTTAACCTCACTGAGCTGAGGTTATTTGAGCCTCTCAGGAGAGAGCTCTCTTCCACCTGGTTGGAGAAAAGCTCTTTAATCGTTAGCATAGCTAGCTAACCAGATGCTAATAACAACAGATCGCCACTGTGCTTACAACTAAAGACACAGCCTCGCAAACACTGCGTACGGCTCCTTATGGGTACTGCAATATTTGAAGAGCTGGAGCGGCGTTCCGATGCTCTCCGTTACTCCTTTCAGACGAGACATAACCACGTGAAGACACGTTACGCTCGTGTTGTGTTCAAGGAACCTGTCCTTGGCCAGGAAAAACAGGCACTCGCTTGTTTAATTATTTTGCGATCTAGATTTCTTCTTCTTTTTTGAAGTGAGAAGTTCCGACGGACGGACGGACTGACGGACCCTCCCCCCCCAAAACGAAAACTCTTCGGTTCTCCACGAATTACACAAGTCACCCAAATCAGCGTTAAAAAAGCGGGAGGCGCCGAAAAGCGACTAATTTGCATCACTGTTAATTTGCACCAAAATAAAATGTCTGCATTATTTTTCTTTACCGTCTTTGAAACTAATATTTTCCCCGTCAGATATTTCGATGACATT